AAATTAAGAAGCTTCCACATAAATCACAGCTTTTCTGATCCAGCTGGTCTTCAGAAAAGGTTCTTAAAGATTTTCCCTATATGTTTCAATGTTAAATTTTAATTCCCTGTGATGGCCCCATCTTACTCCCGGAGACCAATATCTGAACAATTTATAATCTACACTACCTAAGGAATTTTGCAAATTAATTTCATCTTTTCTGATCCAATGGTTCTTGAGAAGAATTTTTTCCCCTATTTGTTTCAATGTAAAATTTGATTCCCTATAGTGGCCCATCCCTCCCCCGGGATTGATTGAATAATTTAGAAGATTTTCAGGAAGCTTTCACATAAGTTTCAACTTTTATGGTCCAATAATTCCTTCAGGAGAAGATGTTTTAAAAGGATTTTCCTATATCTTTCAATGTTAAACTTCCCTATTGTGGCCCTACCCTATCTATCAAGGTCCTTGATTTCAACAATTATAGGAATCTATACAACCTCAGAAAGACTTCACATAAATTTTAGGTTTTCTAGGCCAGTTTTTTTGAGAAGATTTTTATGGACTTTTACTATATATTTCAATGTAAAACTTTAATTTCCTATTGTGGCCAAACCCTCCGGACAATGACTCAAACAATTTAGAATCTACACAACCTCAGGAAGCCTTCAAATAAGTTTTGCTTTACTGGCCAAGTCGTTCTTGAGAGAAGATTTTGTTAATGACCCCACCCTATTCTTGTCTTTTCTTGATTACATATGTATCTCCCCTTGAAGGGGGCTTGGTCCTTTATTTTAGCAATTTAGAATTCCGTTTACCTGGAAATTTTTTGTACCAACTTTGGCTAAAATTGGTTCTTGCAAAAGTTGAAAACAGAGGAAAAAAACCTACACAATCAAATCTAAATTAAAATTCGGGAAAACATATCATATACTAGTATCCCCTCTCATAACTAAAATTATTTAAACCCCATGCTTGGGTGCCATTCTGAATTTAGGCTTTGAATTTCGATCATAATTTATATTTTGATTTGTATATAGTGTACTTGTATAAGGGTTATTCTTCGTTAATGTATATCTCTTAACACAGACATTCCTCTTAAAGATTATCATTCTTTACAATGGGTCAATCCCTATTCCTCACTGTAAACGTATTTCTTTCCACTGGGCCATAAAACCACGGAATCACTTTTTCTGTTCAATCGGCAGGTAGAAAATAACGCAAATTTCTTAAGATTGCCACTGTATACTTGGAATGTACGTAATGTGACCGCTTACAAAGGGTAATACCATGTGGAAAAAAAGTACTTTTACAATTTATATTTTACACAGGGTCCAAACATCTTTACGATTGATTGGTAATTGATTGTACGAGAAAAAGTATGAGATGACAGGGTGACCTTAATGATTGATGATAATAAACAAGTGAAGATTAGGAGTCGGTTATCTGGAAGAAATAAATGTTGTATAAAGGACAAGAATTAATATGTACTTTCCGAATATTTTAAATGTCGCAGAATATTTCATGGGGATATAGTATGTGCACATTTTATTGAGATACAAATTATTACGCTATTACTTTCACACTGAATTGTGTTCAGACTTTTCTGCTTTGCTGATTATGACAAGGAGCACACCGCTGGTGTGACCGGTTGCCAGGAGATGCTTATTCCTTCATGGCACCTGATCCCACCTCTGATGTTTTTAAGAGGTTCGTGTTTGCTCTGCTCCTAATTTGTATTGTTTCAAGGGACTTTTAAGCTTTATAGCTGTTCGTTATCTTCATATTCACTAAAAATAAAGAATTAATGTGAAGATGAACAGTACATTAAGTCTGTTATTTACTCAAAGTTAGAATAGAATGTATAGTGGGGACGAATTAGGTGAATATTACTTCAAAATTAAACATTATCATAATCGATGGCAATTTGACCACTAATTTATTACTATGTACAAAATATTTATTCAAAAATGAAACAAGTATATTTTACACATTGTATTGCTTGAGGATAATAAATAATTACAACATTTAAACATCTTCATAAGATATTTTAAAACACATACACAAGATTATCTAAGTAACATGACTAAATATACAATGACAAGTTCAAATTGCAATTAAAAAATATTTATTATAAACTATAACATCACACTTGAAAATTTGTACCACATGAATCTTATGTAAAAAGGTCTGCACCTTTGTAATTGCTTTTACTATGTGATTGAATTTTAATGATTTATTCTAAAATTCTAATTTTATTTATTTTTAAGGTATTTTAAAATTTTTTTTTAAACGAATGCCTTAATATATTTTGCAATATATTAACATGTTGATAAACAAATATTTTTTAAAAAATCGAAATAATAATCGAAAAAAAATATACAACAAACGACTCCAGATTATATAAATATAGTGTACTGGACCTTCACACAATTTTGTTGCATGATTCCTAATGATTTCTCATTGCAGCATTTTCGTAAACTTTAACCTCTGAATATTCAGTTTATGTAAAAAGTACTCTGCTTACTCAATGTGGTTGTTCTTACCTATACATGTAATATAAAAATCAGTAACTGACAAAACTCTAGTTATTACATCTTATAAAACCAATCTCATGACAAAAGTATTGATTACATTTGATCATACCTTTGATAAAAAAAACAAATTTCTTAACAAGACTATTGATTACATTCAATCATACATGAAATACAAAAATAAACTGCTGACAAGACTATTGATAACTCTCAATAATATATCTAAAATAAAACCAAAAAACTTCCGGACAAGACTATTGATTACATTCAATCACACATGTAAAATAAAACCAATCTGCGGATAAGACTATTGATTACATTTGATCATACATGTTATTACAATCAAGGTCATTAAAAAGACCAAAAAAATTAAATTTTTCGGATTTCCAACGTTTTGGCATATGCATCAAGAGACATAATTTGTTAAATGCGCAATTAGTGCATCAAAATTTGTACCGTATAAGATTTAAATGCTGACTTTAACCAAGATTGTTGAAATCCCTGTAATATATTCTTCCACTCATACCCTTTTTTTCTTTCAAACCAATCGTTGCTTTTTTCTAAACTTATTCAACAGGCGTTATGTCCTCTTTGAAACAGACACACCCTCTTAGTCTAACACAAACCTTATTAACTAAATGCTCCTTTTCCCCATCATTATAACTTTCTCTAGAGTCACCACTCTCTCTTTCACTGTCTCACAAATATCTCATATCACTTTAACGTCTCCCAACTTATTCGATACTGAAGAATCTGCTCTGATCAATTTTTAAACCAAGGCAGACAACTCACAGACAAGTTGATGCTACAGGAAATTCAAAAACTTTCCAGTCAGCATTTCGTGAATTCTGTGCTTGTTATAATGATCTTGATAGCAGATATATCCTATCATTCGGACTTTTTTGGACTGACCTATTTCAGATCAATTGTTAGGCCTCTGTTTTTGTATTCAATTTGACTACGGAATATTCCGCCTTCCTGATCAATACAAAGGGCTTACGGCGGGTTTGACCTGTCGACATGGAATGCTAACTCCTCCTAGGCACCTGATCCCACTTCTTGAATTTCCAGGAGTCAATGTTTTATGCTCTGATTACAGATTTAAATTGTTTGTAGATTTTTTTTAAATCTATACCTGTTCGTAATCTTAAACGTTTTCATCATCTCTTCTATTTCTTTTAAACACCATGCATTCTTTTGCACGCAAGCACTTCTTGTCAAAGAAATTATTTCTTTTTCTAAACTTAATTAAGCAGTCATTTTGTTTTATCTAAAACAGACACATAATCTAACATAAAATCACACTCTCTGCATCTCGCCCTGAAAATAACATAAACCCACACATCCTGGAGGATTATCATCCTCTCTGTAAAATCATCCATCAAAAAATTATGTGCAACATCAATCAGTGTTGTCTTGTACGACCTATAACAGACAGACAGTGTCAGTATAATACAGAATCATACTCTCTGCATCTCACCCTGACAATAACATAATCCCACACATCCAGGAGGATTATCATCTTTTCTATGAAATCATCCTTATGAAAAAATAATTATCCTCTAAAGTCCGAAATCAATCAGTGTAAACAGAAGATATCACACATCCGAATGAGAATTATAATCACCAATACCTGTATCTGCTCATTGACATCCAAACCCATAACTAACAGACGTTTCACTTCGTCAAATTTACTATCTCTGTCATTCCTTTATACGCCAAACTCATTTTTGTCATGTCGCCCGCGTGGCGCAGTGGTTAGAGCGTCTGCTCTCTAGAGTCGCAAATTAAGGAGTTGATCCTTACGTCGCGGGTTCGAATCCCACTGTGGGACGTGGAAACCGGTCCTTCGGATGAGACCGTATAAACCGAGGTCCCATGTCGCAGTAGTACTGGCACGAAAAAGATCCCTCACTGCTCAATGGCCGTAAGTGCCGAGCATAGGACAAAATTTGCAGCTCTCCACCGGCAAGTGGCGGCGTCTCCATATGAGTGAAAAATTCTCGAGAGGGACGTTAAACAACAAACAAACAAACAAACAAACAAACATTTTGTCATATAATTCTTACTATGTCTTCAAGTCACTTTGCCTCATCACGTTTACCAAACATTTAAATATGTGAATTTAGTCTAAATTTCGTTCACTTTCAATATTGAATAATTATGTTCTACATCAAACTTGCTTGCCACTAACGCAATACACAATGAAAAAGACTCGTCTCTTCAGATATAGTTGTACAGCGCTATTACTACTGACCAGAAGTATAACAAGTGTGAGATTTTCAATTGTATTTGAAAATATTCTATAAACAAGAGTACCTCCTCTGTATATTTAATAACACAAGCCCTAGCAGCTTGAAGCAGGTCTTTTACAATAAGCATATAACCACCTTTACATTTTACTGTCAGTGGCGCACTAAAGAACTCTTGTAGATAATCATTAGCCCCTGCCTCTAAAAGCTCCGTCACTAAACCCAAATATGAAATCTTATTCCTTCACTACAAACCAACTTCACATGTCAAAGTTGTATCAGACCAACTTTTATTGGCCCAAGATTCTTGTTGATTAATATAAGCCCCAGCCTGTAAAACTACACTCATATGGTCATCCCTTGATAATGTTGTCAGTCGTTTTTAAAACTCCATATTGTGGATCGTTATCAGCTCCAGCCTCTAAAAGCATCTTCAATACATTGATATGTCCACCCTCACGTGTTGCTGTTAGTGGGATATTATACTTTCCTTCTTGATTGATATCAGCTCCAGCTTCTAGTAGCTCCTTCACTACACTCATATGTCCACCCTCACGTGCTGCTGTCAGTGGGGTATTATACTCACCTTCTTGATTGATATAAGCTCCAGCTTCTAGTAGCTCCTTCACTACACTCATACGTCCACCCTCACGTGCTGCTGTCAGTGGGGTATTATACTCACCTTCTTGATTGATATTAGCTCCAGCTTCTAGTAGCTCCTTCACTACACTCATATGTCCACCCTCACGTGCTGCTGTCAGTGGGGTATTATACTCAATTTCTTGATTGATATCAGCTCCAGCTTTTAGTAGCTCCCTCACTACACTCAAATGTCCACCCCTACATGCTGCTGTTAGTGGTGTAGCACACTGACCTTGTGCATCGATATCAACTCCAGCTTCTAAAAGCTCCCTCACTACATTCAAATGTCCACCCTTACATGCTGCTGTTAGTGGTGTATTATACTTACCTTCTTGATTGATATCAGCTCCAGCTTTTAGTAGCTCCTTCACTACACTCATATAACCACCCTCACATGCTGCTGTCAGTGGGGTATTATACTCACCTTCTTGATTGATATCAGCTCCAGCTTTTAGTAGCTCCCTCATTATACTCATATGTCCACTCTCACATGCTGCTATTAGTGGTGTAGCATACCGACCTTGTGGATTGATATCAGCTCCAGCTTTTAGTAGCTCCCTCACTATACTCATATGTCCACCCTCACATGCTGCTTTTAGTGGTGTAGAATACTGACCTTGTGGATTGATATCAGCTCCTGCTTCTAGTAGCTCCTTCACTACACTCACATGTCCACCCCTACATGCTGCTGTTAGTGGTGTAGCATACCGACCTTGTGGATTGATGTCAGCTCCAGCATTAAGTAGCTCCTTCACTACACTCATATGTCCACCCTCACGTGCTGCTGTCAGTGGGGTATTATACTCAATTCCTTGATTGATATCAGCTCCAGCTTTTAGTAGCTCCCTCACTACACTCAAATGTCCACCCCTACATGCTGCTGTTAGTGGTGTAGCACACTGACCTTGTGCATCGATATCAACTCCAGCTTCTAAAAGCTCCCTCACTACATTCAAATGTCCACCCTTACATGCTGCTGTTAGTGGTGTATTATACTTACCTTCTTGATTGATATCAGCTCCAGCTTTTAGTAGCTCCTTCACTACACTCATATAACCACCCTCACATGCTGCTGTCAGTGGGGTATTATACTCACCTTCTTGATTGATATCAGCTCCAGCTTTTAGTAGCTCCCTCATTATACTCATATGTCCACCCTCACATGCTGCTATTAGTGGTGTAGCATACCGACCTTGTGGATTGATATCAGCTCCAGCTTTTAGTAGCTCCCTCACTATACTCATATGTCCACCCTCACAAGCTGCTTTTAGTGGTGTAGAATACTGACCTTGTGGATTGATATCAGCTCCAGCTTTTAGGAGCCCACTCACTATACTCATATGTCCACCCTCACATGCTGCTATTAGTGGTGTATTATACTCACCCTCTTGGTTGATATCAGCTCCAGCTTCTAGTAGCTCCTTCACTATACTCATATGTCCACCCCCACATGCTGCTATTAGTGGTGTAGCATACCGACCTTGTGGATTGATATCAGCTCCAGCTTTTAGTAGCTCCCTCACTACACTCAAATGTCCACCCCTACATGCTGCTGTTAGTGGTGTAGCACACTGACCTTGTGCATCGATATCAACTCCAGCTTCTAAAAGCTCCCTCACTACATTCAAATGTCCACCCTTACATGCTGCTGTTAGTGGTGTATTATACTTACCTTCTTGATTGATATCAGCTCCAGCTTTTAGTAGCTCCTTCACTACACTCATATAACCACCCTCACATGCTGCTGTCAGTGGGGTATTATACTCACCTTCTTGATTGATATCAGCTCCAGCTTTTAGTAGCTCCCTCATTATACTCATATGTCCACCCTCACATGCTGCTATTAGTGGTGTAGCATACCGACCTTGTGGATTGATATCAGCTCCAGCTTTTAGTAGCTCCCTCACTATACTCATATGTCCACCCTCACATGCTGCTTTTAGTGGTGTAGAATACTGACCTTGTGGATTGATATCAGCTCCAGCTTTTAGGAGCCCACTCACTATACTCATATGTCCACCCTCACATGCTGCTATTAGTGGTGTATTATACTCACCCTCTTGGTTGATATCAGCTCCAGCTTCTAGTAGCTCCTTCACTATACTCATATGTCCACCCCCACATGCTGCTATTAGTGGTGTAGCATACCGACCTTGTGGATTGATATCAGCTCCAGCTTTTAGTAGCTCCCTCACTACACTCATATGTCCACCCTCACATGCTGCTGTTAGTGGTGTATTATACAAACCTTGTGGATTGATATTAGCTCCAGCTTTAAGTAGCTCCTTCACTACACAAATATGTCCAGCCTCACATGCAGTTGTTAGTGGTGTAGCGTACCGACCTTGTGGATTGATATCAGCTCCAGCTTTAACTAGCTCCTTCACTACACCAATATGTCCACCCTCACATGCTGATGTCAATGGTGTACTATACAAACCTTGTGGATTGATATCAGCTCCAGCTTCTAGTAGCTCCTTCACTACACTCATATAACCACCCTCACATGCTGCTGTCAGTGGGGTATTATACTCACCTTCTTGATTGATATCAGCTCCAGCTTCTAGTAGCTCCTTCACTACACTCTTATGTCCACCCTTACATGCTGCTGTTAGCGGTGTATCATATAACATTTCATATTGCATTTTCTTGTTCGCATTTTTTATATCGACATACTTAATAAGTATTCTTACAATATCTAAATTTCCACTGTAACAACTTAATACAAGTAGGCGGCGTTGTTCAGCATCAAATCTTCTATTGTCCTGCTTTTTATATCTTGTATCACTAATAGAATTCGATAAACCTAATTTGTCTGTTGCATTATTTGTTTCACCTTTTTTTTCTCGCTGTTTTGTTTCACAGCTTATTTTGGGGCTCAAGGAATTCCAGAATAGTTCAGTCTCCGTTTCTTTGTGTTCTTCAGTTTTTTCAAAGATATATTTTAGGATCTGACTGTGTCCATAGTAAACCACCCAACTGATAACTCTCGCGGTGTATACTGTTTCTGTATCTGATATTTCCCTCTCATTCAGCTGCACCTCCTGTCTGCGCCACTCCCAGCTCCTCTCTTCCCTCTCCTCACACACATCTGCAACCCAATCTACTTTACTCACCACGTTAGACACGTCTTTCTTTTCTGACAGAAATAAAGACTTTACTTCTGTGTAAGACTTTGTTTTTAACACCTCGATAAAAGCCTGGCATACTTTACGCTGTTTTAAAACATTGTTCATAAAAACATCATATAGTTCCATATTTTCTATATCTCTGTACAAACGCTCCGCTAACATCGGATACTGGTCCTCTCTTAACCTTATAAAGAGATAAAAAGAATCCTGGCTTTCTTCATTACTTGATACTTCATGCTCTTCTCCACCTAGTTCTTCGTTCTCACCGAGTTTACATTCATCCTCAGACTCTTTTTCACATTCTTGTACTTTTACGTTATTAGCAATGTAACTACTGCTGATATATTGTAAAATCACATCTGGAAACTGAGAACCAAAATGATATGCAAGGATTTCAAACACAGTGTCATGAATAATTGTATACTCAGTACCACATAGTTTTGTGTAAGTCCCATTCATTGCTGACAATGCTGTATCAACTTCAAATGCAGCAGTGTAACTTTCAACTTCACAACATTTTAGTACTCTTGATTTCATTTCACAGAAAACGTTGTTCTCAGTGTTTAGCAATATTTCAGTTGATAGTTTATTGTTATTTAACATGCACAAGACCAATGTTGCATAGCATAAATTCTTTCTCCGTAGCATTTTGTCAAATTCCTCTAAAAGAAATTCAGCAGGGCAAGTAAAAAACCTCTCAAAATTGTTTCTAACTTCCTTCACACCTTTTGAGTATATTTTACACAACACAGGAAACATATCCGATGATTTTCTCAGTAATGGAGGAGACAACAAATTTCTATCCAAGCCGTGTTTCTGAAGAATTGCTTTTTTGTCTCCACAGTCCAATGCATGTTCTGAACTTTGCATTTTAATTACGTTTTGATCATTTGAGAAAAATGATTTGTAACATTTCTTAAACACTGTTTCCCGACATGACATTAGTACCTTTGTATTTTTATTGTAAGGATACGAAATTCTTGTTTTATAGTTTATCAATGAATCTAACTTTTGTTTTTGAAGACCAAAGACCCCTACCACATCATCAATGACAAAAACCTGTGGTTTATGAGAGTTGCAATAATCTTCAATCTTTCTGATATCCATAATTGGTACAACCTCGTATCCTTCCCTCTGGAGTATCAGGGCTATGTGATGAATTGTTGCCAATTTTCCTGATCCTGGGACACCAACAAATGTCATAAAAGGTTGCTTTCGGACTTTATCCAGTATTGCACTGAAACTGTGGTTTTCACTGTAAACCTTATCCTCTTCCTTCCATCGTAGAAATTCATTTTCATGAAGATCTAAAATGAATTGTAAAATATTTAACTCAAAAACTCAAGGTTGAATGATCCAGTTAGTAACTACATGTGTAACTTGAGAAACTTTTAAAGTTTAGAATAGTACAATTCAGAGACTAAACAGAGACTAAAGGGCCTTGATGATCACGTGCATCATGAGTTTCTCTTCTTATATAAAAATGTCTCAAACTACATAAGGGTTCCACCTGAGCCCAAGGGGGCCATAATGAGGGTTGTCAAAAAAATAAAAATAAATAGAGACAATGTTTATAACTTTGTAAACATTCAACTAATACTAACCAACTTTTGCATAGCTATAATTCATTCAATGTTCCTTAAAATAGTGAACTCTGAAATAAATGTCTTTCATCGTAATAATATTATTGAGCTTTATAAGACGGTCGATATGGTCTGTCGGCACACTAACAAAATCCGGAATACTGTATATCACTTAATTTTCGCGACACCTTATTTTCGCGAGATAAACATTTATTATTTATTAGCGAGACAAAATTTACACGAATTTTGATTACTGATCTATATAATCTTCTGGAATACTAATATAATCGAGAATCATATTTTCGCGAGCATATTTTCTCGCGTAATTTCGCGAAAATAAGGTTCTCGCGAACAAAAAGTGATTTACAGTATTTTATACATGTAACAATTCCAATAGCATTTGTATCTCTGAGTATACGTAACACATTAAACTGAAATTTATATCATTTTAACCAGAAAAAAAACCTTAGCAATATATCAGTTTTTCACACAAATGGCATCAGAGTCAGAGAATTAGAGTCGTAGTTTTCAAAGTGTTGTTGGAATTGACTTTGTTGCAAATGACGTCATAAAACGCGTTTGCGGCGCACAAGGATGTCATGGAATTGTTTTGAATGTGGTTTGTCCACTTCAGAGACGGAAAATGAAACTGAAGCCACATTACACTATAACATGGTAGTAGAGAAGTTGTTTATAAATGGTATAAGAGATTCAAGGGCAGTTTTCAGCTCCGCGCCGAATAAAGTTAGACCTATAAGAAGTGGAGTAGTATAGCGACTCAGAGTAAAATTTCACCCAAATATTTCACTTGTGAAGCCATGCATGAAATTTGGCCCAATATCTGTCAGATAATGCTGTTTCTAAAATCATCGTTGGCCATCGCAGCTTCCGCCATTTTCAAGAAATGCAAAAACAAAATGGTGACATTTCTATACTACTTGGCCTTACAAACCATCCATTTACTGTAATATTTATTATATTTTGGCTGTTTTATGATATATTTTGCTCATAACTAAGCTTTGTTGAAGACATCTTCAACATCACATTGTAAAATAAGTGTGACATTTCATAACTAAGATGGTGAGAAGAAATTCAAAAACGACACATTTTAGTGTGACATGAATGCAAATTGTCAAGAAGGTAAAAACAGAGAGAAGGCAATGGAAAAACACGGTGTATCTGCATAATGCATCTTGGGACGTGAATGTAATTAACTTCTGACTGAATTTCGTGAAATAAAATGCAATTGTTATCGGAGGCTCTATATCCTCCATTAGAATGATTTATCTAAAGAATATCTAAAAAGAAACATAGAAGTTACAAGTTTGGATTTATGAAAACTAGTTGATCTTGTCATGATAAGTCAGAGATGAAAAAGTTGAAAAAAAGAAAGACACAAATCAAAGAAAAATGTCTAATCCTCATATAAAATAGAATTCTAGATACCACAGAAAACCTAGATGTATGAATGGGATGCAGGCAAAGACATTTTCCCAAGAAGTATTGAAATCGTGAAGTCCCACCGGAAACAAAAACGTCAACATCCGTTATAAGAGAAAAACGACATAATTTGAATATTTTTCTTTCCCATTAATATCTTTTGTAGATTAAGTATTTCAAATGAATTTTAAATATGTTATTTAGACTGCAAATGAGTAACCTTCAATATCTTTGTAAAATTTACTTCCGGTCGCGTGTTTTTCTGTCCTCAAAATGAGAAGCTGTGTGAGCAAGATCTTGGAAACGGTAAGAGATTATGACACCAAACTTATATGAGCAACAGATCTTAATATCAATTCTCTGTAATTATCAAAATAGGTTGGCCACGCATAGAAAAACATTTTGGTTTTCTAATAATGATTTTATACAGTTGTGTCATTAATTGTAAAATCTAAAGTGGGTTTATGAAATAGACCCTTGGTTGCCATAGAAACGGGGTGCAAAATTCCTCAATTTCGTTAATTATGAAAAACATGTACTTATCAGAAAAAACTGTGTCCAGAAATGAAAAGAGATAACTTAATTTGTTTTAATTATTTATATCTAATACTACAGATGAAAGCAACGATATCTATAGTTTTCATTTAATTTCACAATAGCAAATGGTCATGTTATATAGTAATAACATATCAGATAGATGATTAGTTTCATGGAGTTTTTGGAGACTTAAAACAAAAAAGGCACACTGATTACAAATTTAGTAATAACTAGAAACTCATTACTAGTAATGAGAAGGTCTTCCATTATACTACTTCCTGTTTGCATCAACATGTCTTTTCCAACGTCGGTACAAGCCTAAAACTGATGTAGAAACAAAATAACTTAAAAAAAATACTTTTTGCTTCATTTCCTGTCACGACCGGAAGTAATGACGACAGACGATTTTTACAGGATGCAAATGAACTGATGACTGACTATAAGTCCTGAAAGTTTTAGACTTCAGTCTTTTACTCTTACCGAGCAATTGTGAGAAAACATTCAAATTTCTGGGACAGGAAAACACACGACCGGAAGTGAATTGAATAAAAATCTCTGAATTTTCTCATGACATTTGTAGTATCTACAGCATATGTAAAAAAAAAACATTTCAAATACTTATCTGTAAGTGACATTTATGAGAAAGCTAAACATCGAAATAACGTAGTTTATCTCTTTAAACCGGAAGTTTACAGTTTTTGTTTCCGGTGGAATCTAACATATTTCAAAACACGAAAGAGATGCAACAAAGTGATGCAAGTTTTAATTTTAGAAAGAAAAGTTGAAATTTTCAATTTTTTGATCACTTCCTGTGACGACCGGAAGTGACGGCTGACGCGTCTAACCCTATGTGTTTTGCCTACTCCTCAAGGTCTATTACTCCTATAAGTTTGGTGTCTTAATCTCATGCCGTTTCCGAGATCTCGCTGAGATAACTTTTCATTTTGAGGACAGGAAAAACACGCGACCGGAAGTGAATTTTACTAAGATTTTTGACGCTACTCTAGACATTTGCAGTCTGAATAACATATCTAAAAATCTTTTCAAATACTTTATCTATAAAAGATATTTAAGGGAAAGTAAAATACTCAAATTATATAGTTTTCCTCTTATAACCGGAAGTTGTCATTTTTGTTTCCGGTGGCACTGACATATTTCGAAACTACACATAAGATGCAATAATGTGATGCAAAAAAAAATTCAAAAAAGAAAAGTTGAAATTTTCGATTTCTTTGATCACTTCCTGTGACGACCGGAAGTGACGGCTGACACGCTTAACCCAAATGGGCTCGCCTACTCCTCATGATCTATTACTCGTATAAGTTTGGTGTCTTAATCTCTTACCGTTTCTGAGATCTCACTCGGAAAAAATATTTTTGAAAAAAACGGAAATCGGACATATCTGACGACCGGAAGTGAATTTTGACAAAATGAAAAAAACGCCTCGGGGTATTTTCATTCTCTATCAACCCTGAAAATTTCAGGAAAATCCATCCAGTCATCTCTGAGAAATCCTGCCGACAAAAAAAGGGGAAAAAAAAAATAATAATAATAATAACTAGAAACTCATTACTAGTAATGAGAAGGTCTTCCGTTATACTACTTCCTGTTTGCATAAACATTTCTTTTCCAACGTCGGTATAAGCCTAAAACTGATGTAGAAACAAAATAACTTAAAAAATTACTTTTTTCTTCATTTCCTGTCACGACCGGAAGTAATGACGACAGACGATTTTTACACGATGCAAATGAACTGATGACTGACTATAAGTCCTGAAAGTTTTAGACTTCAGTCTTTTACTCTTACCAAGCAATTGTGAGAACACATTCTAATTTTGGGAACAGGAAAACACACGACCGGAAGTGAATTGAATAAAAATCTCTGAATTTTCTCATGACATTTGAAGTATCTACAGCATATGTATAAAAAAACATTTCAAATACTTATCTTTAAGTGATATTTATGAGAAAGCTAAACATCGAAATAACGTAGTTTATCTCTTTAAACCGGAAGTTTACAGTTTTTGTTTCCGGTGGAATCTAGCATATTTCAAAACACGAAAGAGATGCAACAAAGTGATGCAAGTTATAATTTTATAAAGAAAAGTTGAAATTTTCGATTTTTTGATCACTTCCTGTGACGACCGGAAGTGACGGCTGACGCGTCTAACCCTATGTGTTTTGCCTACTCTTCAAGGTCTATTACTCATTCAAGTTTGGTGTCTTAATCTCATGCCGTTTCCGAGATCTCGCTGAGATAACTTTTCATTTTGAGGACAGGAAAAACACGCGACCGGAAGTGAATTTTACTAAGATTTTTGACGTTACTCTAGACATTTGCAGTCTGAATAACATATCTAGAAATCTTTTCAAATACTTTATCTACAAAAGATATTTAAGGGAAAGTAAAATACTCAAATTATGAAGTTTTCCTCTTCTAACCGGAAGTTGTCGTTTTTGTTTCCGGTGGGACTGACATATTTCGAAACTACACATAAGATGCAATAATGTGATGCAAAAAAAAATTCAAAAAAGAAAAGTTGAAATTTTCGATTTCTTTGATCACTTCCTGTGACGACCGGAAGTGACGACTGACACGCTTAACCCAAATGGGCTCGCCTACTCCTCATGATCTATTACTCGTATAAGTTTGGTGTCTTAATCTCTTACCGTTTCTGAGATCTCACTCGGAAAAAATATTTTTGAAAAAAACGGAAATCGGACATATCTGACGACCGGAAGTGAATTTTGACAAAATGAAAAAAACGCCTCGGGGTATTTTCATTCTCTATCATCCCTGAAAATTTCAGGAAAATCCGTCCAGTCATCTCTGAGAAATCCTGCCGACAAAAAAAGGGGAAAAAAAAAATAATAATAATAATAATAATAATAATAATAATAAACAGTACAATCACTATAAGGTCTTCCGTCTGGAACGGAAGACCTTAATAATAAACAGTACAATCACTATAAGGTCTTCCGTCTGGAACGGAAGACCTTAACTAGAAACTCATTACTAGTAATGAGAAGGTCTTCCGTTATACCACTTCCTGTTGGGAGTCGCCTATGTAACACAGTGTTTTTAGCGGTATTTTGGCCGGTACTTCTAGCGGAAATAATTTGCGTGGACATGTCCTTTCTAACTTCGGTATTATCCTAAAACTAATGTAGAAAGAAAACAACTTGCAAAAATTCACTTTTTTGTATCACTTCCTGTCACGATCGGAAGTAATGGCGACACACGATTTTACACGATGCATTTGAACGGATGATTTGCTATCAGTCCTGAAAGTTTTAGACTTCAGTCTTTTACTGTTGTCAAGCAATTTTGAGAAGACATTCTAATTTTGAGTACAGGAAAACACGCGACCGGAAATGAATTGTTTAAAAATCTCTAAAATTCTTCTAGACATTTGTAGTATCTACAACAAATATATAAAACATTTCAAATACTTTATCTCTAAGTGATATTTATGAGACGGTTAAACATAGAAATAACATAGTTAATCTCATAAAACCGGAAGCTTAGGTTTTTGTTTCCGGTTGAATCTAACATATCAGAAAACAGCAAAAGAGTTGCAATTAAGTGATGCAAGTTTTAATTTAAAAAAGAAAACTTAAAATTTTTGATTTTTTATCACTTCCTGTGACGACCGGAAGTGCCGGTTGACGTGTTTAACAATATATGTTTTGTCTACTCCTCAAGATCTATTATTCTTATAAGTTTGGTGTCTTAATCTCTCACTGTTTCCGAGATCTCGCTCAGAGAACTCCTCATTTTCAGGACAGAAAAACACGCGACCGGAAGTGAATTTTACAAAGATATCTAAAATTACTCTAGACATTTGCAGTCTGAGTAAAATATCTAAAAATCATTTCAAATTAATTATCTATAAAAATATTTATGGGAAAGTATAATACTCAAATTATGTGGTTTTTCTCTTATAACCGGAAGTTGTCGTTTTTGTTTCCGGTGGGACTGACATATTTCGAAACGACAAATAAGATGCAATAAAGTGATGCAAAAAAAGATTCAAAAACGAAAAGTTGAAATTTTTGATTTCTTTGATCACTTCCTGTGACGACCGGAAGTGACGGCTGACGTTCTTTTCCCAAATGGTTTTGCTTACTCGTCAAGATCTATTACTCATAAGAGATTGGTGTCTTAATCTCTTACCATTTCTGAGATCTGGCTCAGACAAATTCTCATTTTACGGACATTCAAACGCGCGACCGGAAGTGAATTTTACTAAGATATTTGAAGTTACTCTTGACATTTACAGTCTTGATAACATATCTAAAAATCATTTCAAATACTTGATCTATAAAAAATATTTATGGGAAAGTAAAATACTCAAATTATGCAGTTTTTCGCTTATAGCCGGAAGTTGTCGTTTTTGTTTCCGGTGGGACTGGCATATTTCGAAACTACACATGAGATGCAATAATGTGATGCAAAAAAAAATTCAAAAAAGAAAAGTTGAAATTTTCGATTTCTTTGATCACTTCCTGTGACGACCGGAAGTGACGGCTGACACGCTTAACCCAAATGGGCTCGCCTACTCCTCATGATCTATTACTCGTATAAGTTTGGTGTCTTAATCTCTTACCGTTTCTGAGATCTCACTCGGAAAAAATATTTTTGAAAAAAACGGAAATCGGCCATATCTGACGACCGGAAGTGAATTTTGAAAAAATGAAAAAAACGCCTCGGGGTATTTTCATTTTCTATCAACCCTGAAAATTTCAGGAAAATCCACCCAGACATCTCTGAGAAATCCTGCCGACAAGAAAAGGGGAAAATAATAATAATAATAATAATAATAATAATAACTAGATGAGATCTCGTTGCGAGCAACGAGTAGGTCTTCCGTCCGATTTTTCGATAAGATGAGATATGATTTTAACCATGATCTTTGTTAAAAGATAATAATATATATAGACTTCCCTAATTAGATTTCAATCCTTTGATTTTATATACATTATCAAAGAGCTATCGATGAATTGCTTTTGGCCCCTCTGAGCCCCTAATTTGAAGGGTCACCCCCCTGTTCTTGATATCAAATGAAAGGTCTCGAGAATTTGAAGACTTTTTGTTCAACAACTATACAGAGATTTCTTTTCGTTGTGGAGATATGCTGAATGGAAATATTTAGGGGCCACCCCTCCAAGTCCTTAATGGGGCCGTTTGACAAAAACTGAAAGGGTGCACATTGTTTAGAA